CCTCTCTCTCTGTCTCTGTGTCTCTCATGAATAAATAAATAAATCTTAAGAAAAAATTTCAAGGTGACACAACGTTTAAGTAGCATAAGGGTGTCGTTCTTTCCTCTCTAGTCATAATGGCCCTGGTCCCTTTTGTTATTAGCAAAGTAAAATCCTTCTGAATTATCAACCAGTCACTAGAATGACCTCATTTCAGTCAGTCCTCAAGGTCATTACTGAAGACACTAGTGAACTGAGGAATTAAACACAGTTACAAAGGATTCTCAACTGTAAAACATCTCAAGACCTCTACCATCATAATGTGCACTGAATGCCATAAAATCCAAGTATTCCCTACATCTTTTTGATCATGGGCCTTTCCATAAAGACTATCAATTAACATGTCCTAAGCCTCACTTTTTCAAGAAAAAAAATTGGGGAAATGTTCTATCCGAGTGGTTCTTAAAGCATGGTTCATCAGCTCTCTTGGAGGTTTATTCCAAATGCAAAATCTCAGCCCCCACCCAGACCTACCGAATCTGAAACTCTTGGGGGTGGGACACAGCCATCTGTGTTTAACAAGTCCTGTGGGCTATGGTGACTCACATGGAAGTTCGAGAAACACTGCTCCAGCCTAAACCCGTACCACTTCTTACTTACTGCAGAGCAGCCAATCATAAACCATCATGTCCCTACTTGGCCAAAAACCCTTAAACACACTGCACCTAGAATAAACCCCTGCTCACCTCTCTGTTCTTACTCTGAGTTCTTCCTTCGTTTACAACCTCCCAGCCATACTACTTCTTTATATTCCTGGTACACTGGAAGACTGTTCCTATTCCAGGGCCCTCCCGTACCCTCTGCCTGGAACACTCATCCACACACACGCTCCCCCTCCTCCCACATCTGCATGGCTAGCTCCTTTTTTTGGCTCAGGTGTCAGGATCAATGTTACCTCCATGGTCAGACGCCAGTCACACTCTTCATGATGCAATTTCATTGTCTTTACAGGGGTTATGGCTATAAGCATTGATTTGTTTGTTTGTTTGTAAGCATTAGAGCAGGAAGCAGGTCTGTCTTATGTTAAGCAAATATATGCTAGATGAATACAGTCTGTCTACAGACTCGAGTTTCACCATTTTTACTTGTGGTTTGTGGTTAAGTGGTCAATGCCCAATGCCCTCTCAGCTGCCCAATGTCTTCTCAATCCCCTCTGAACGACCTCTGAGCTGCGTGTGGTCACCAGCTTCAAAAGATGGGCCTGACACAACATCCCTTAGTTAGCTATTTCCCAATATGCCAAGTTATTAATGTCTTACTGGCGAAAAGACAATACCAACTACCTTTTGGACATTAAGAAAAATGTCAACGATCAAGTGACTTTTAGAAAACTGTAAATAAAAAAACAGAAAGAAAAAAAGAAAAATTTAATTAATTATTCAATAAATAAGGTCATCTAAGTTATCTTCCATGGACTTCAAGAAGGGTGTTTTCATTTTGATTAAATAGAGCCTAAACAAATTTTTACTTTAATTTCTTTAAATTGCCCTGAGTAAAACATTATTCAACATGGTGAATTACAACAGGTTCCCTTCCTGTTAGAACCCATATAAATTATAAGGACTTGTTATGAGATTGACCAAATGTAGGAGCATTTAGCATTTTGTGACCCTGGTCACGTTTTTTAGCCCCTCATAATCCTGGGTTTCTGCGTCCATCAAACTTGGATCACAAGAAATACAGCAGAGTAACTAAGTGAATTACATGGGAGAACATGTGTCAAAGTGACCAATAACAGGTTTTTTGAATCTTAATCCATGCCAACTGTTCTGCTAAGCCCTTTAAACATGCTATGTCTTTAGTTCTTATTCACTATAGGTAGTACTATTCCCATTTTACAGAAATTGAAGCTGAGGGGTTAAGTACTTTGCCTGAGGTCAGAGAGCTGCAAGCATCAGCCCTGGGTTTTCCAAAGCAAGGTTATCTAACTCAAAGTTTCTTGTCTTAATCATCATCCCTACTGCGGGTGTAATGCCGAACACAGGTTCCATCTACCACATAGTAGGTGTTCTATAGACGCAAGTTTATCTTCCCCTAGCTTTCAGTAGTGTCCCTGATTCTTTCCCCATGCCATACTGCCAGAAGGCATTAATATCTTTCTACCACAATACATTTTAGTAAACATTTCTTAAGTTTTACCTCTCGATGGAAAAGTATCCCAATTACCTGAGAGAAGACAATTTGAATTATTTCAACTTAAGGTGAACTCCCCTAACTGGCTACACAGTACGTCACTAACTGTCTTTACTCTTCTTAGGATATGTCACATAATGTGTTTGTGGCAAATTGACTGTCTATGCTGTGTGGTGTGATGTGATGTAGCAGAAAAGAGATGGGCTTTGGGGTCAAATGGTCCAGGGCCCCACGACTCCTCTCTGCCACTGACAAGCTGTATGAATCTGTACATATTTTATTCCCTGAGTATTTTTCCTCATTAAGAGATGGGGAGAAAAACCTGTCTCTTACAACTGCTGCAATGCCTAATGCCTGGCATACTCTGGGCAATAATAACATTAGTTCCCCTCTTTCACTTCACTTTGCCCCACTCTTTTGATAAGCTCTACTACTGTAGGTATTGAAAATGCCTCCTTTGAATTCCAACAAAGGTTTCTGACAGTGCTTTAAAATAATGGAAATTGTAGGTGAGATGAATGCTGCACATCCAGGTAGCTGTCTGGGGAAGTGACAGGTTTACTTCAATGATGCACCACTGCTGAGGGAAGCATAAAAATTCTGCTATTAAAATTGCTCTTGGAACCAGTTTGAGTCACTCAAGAAAGACAGCTTGTTATTCAGGCTTTTTTTCATGGTTCACCATCACCCCTCCCTACCTCTTTACTGGCACCCCTTCTTATCTCAAAGTCAAGTCCATGCTCAGTTCTGGGATGGGTGAAACTTTATGGTATTTTTGGCAAAAAAGAAAAAATACATATATATATATATATAAATATACATATATATGTATATATAAATATAAAATGACATTTTGACCATGCTCCTTATTTATCACCTTGGGTTCAAATGATCTTACTATTTCTAACAATCACAAAAGGTTGAAGATTTAAGTGAGGAAATACTCCAAAAATCTAAAGGTAATTTCAAAAAAGGAGTTTCACCACTGATCTGATACAATGGAAGCAATATGGATGGATGTTTAGATATAGCCTCTGATCGTGACTATTTTGAAGAGACTTTATTTGGATTCAGTTCATATGTTCAAGTTAGATAATTTTAAACACTGATGTAATATGAAAGTTAGCCATATAAAAATATTGCAATCAGTTCAGCAGGATTTACTGTGTATCCCTCATAAGTCAAAACTATTCTAGAAGAAATGCTTTAGATTATTATCTGGAAACTTTTTAGACTGTATACTCAACCAGTAGTAGAATTTTGAATGTGCCCTAAAAAAAAGAATTTTGAATGTGCACCCCAAATTGATATACAAGTTAATTTATTTATATGTTATATACATATTCGTTCAATTATAAGAATAGGCCTGTATTTGTAATGTATGTGCATTAGGAAACATGTAACACTACAAACTGAAAGACAAAAATGTGTGTGCGTGTGTATATACACACATTATTTTTTGTCCTTATCTCTGTGGTGGAGCTTCTTATATATATCCGGCACATATTTGTACATCCTGCTTTGGAGACCACTGTTTTAAATGACAATGTTTGTGAAAAAAGGCGCTAAGATCCTTTTTCTAAATGGCCATTAAGCAAAACTGTTACCTTTCATATTTGTTTAGTGACATGTATTGTTTACACCAAAAATCAAATACGGTGCAGATTCACCAAGAGTGCAACACTGGAGTAGTTCAAGTAGGAAATACCTGAGTGCAATTCATCCTTATTGGACTAAAAGACAAAACTTAATGAAATTGCTAAAAGTTGCATGCTGGGCTCACATGAGATCCTAATGAATGATGTAATAGTATAAAGACACAGGGAAGGTACTTCTATAAGTGTAATATGTAAAGGCACCAACCTTAGCTATACCTTTGAGTATGGTAACTGAAGGCAGGGCAACATGTTCTGAGCTGACTCTGGTCAGATTCTGAAGCCTATGTAGTGACAAGACTCAAACAGCAATGGCCTAAACTACTATTTCCCTGCAAGTATTCTGGAGTTGCCTATCTTTACACTAGCACTCACACAGCGTACACCTATACAGGCCTAAGAAGCTAGCTGACTCTGAAAAGGATAGCAAGAAGAAAGGGAGAGGAGTCATGAGACCATCTGTCTTTGAATTTGTGTGTGTGAGGGGATGTTATTTCCAGTTGCTTTTTATATGCTATTCAAAATTCTTTAAAAAAAGTTTTTATTCATAAATCCAAAGGAACTTTCAGACAAAGATTACTTCCTTATTTCAACTGGCATTCTATAGCAACATTTGGTGTGATATATTAATTCAAACAACTTCTTAAAGTTTCCTTATTAGAGGATAATAGATGATTTTATAATGTTGAAAGTCCATTTTAAATTACACAATAATTTTTATAACTGATTAGGTCAGAGGACTAAGCTTGCTTTTGATGCAGAAAATTCAAAGGCATTATGAAAGAAGAGAAAAAAAATCCAATTTCGTATTACTTTCATAAATTTTGCCAGTTCTCATTAAAGAACAATGAGCCACTGGAAATTAATTAAGAGCAGATTTGACAGCCTGCAATAAAAACACTTTAATGTATCTGAATTGCTCTGGATTTTTAAAAAAGATTTATTTATTTATTTATTTATTTATTTATTTATTTATTTTAGAGAGAGAGAGAACATGAGTGTGAGAAGGGGGAGGGGCAGAGGGAAAGAAAATCTGACGCAGACTCCCCGCTGAGCATGGAGCCTGACACTGGGCTCAGTCTCAGGACCTTAAGATCATGACCCTGATCTGGATTCTTGAACATAATAAAATTCCAAGAAAGTGTCTTCGGGTAAAATTTCTTGATTTCTTACCTTGCCATATTTCTGGGCATAAGACCCTGTGAGCAATGAGTGAAAAACAATGATGGTTTCATCCAAGTCCCAGACAAATACACGCTGAAGAAAAAAACAAGTATCAAAGAATTATCAAGTTCCAAGAAAACAGAAATCTCTTTGGACGTTGAAAACATCTGATTTTGCAGTTGGATATAATCTCAATACCATTTTATAAAAAATTACACTACTCCATTAATTTTTTTCCAGGTTTGCCAGATGTTACTGTGATAAAATCAGAGGGGGAGAAGTGATTTTAAAAAGTCATAAAAAGCTTAAAGATCAGATGTCCTCATTTGAATGGATTCATCTAAATATTTACTTGCAGTTAATACCCAAAAAGACACATTTGAACTTAGGACATAAGTGTACTTGAAATGCTATTTTAAAATATTGCTTTATGGATTTATGAGATTCTGCAATTTGTGCAAAGGATTAAATTTTTAAAAATATTTTTAAAAAATCAGTGAGTGATCCCTAAACAGAAATTTGGGTTAGATTAAGCTATGAAATGAGGGCTGTTTAGTTTGCACAGTATTTAGAAAGATTTCAAATTACTGATCAACATTTCATGATTTTAGGAGATTTCACAAAAACGTCAGGGTTCTCTGACCACACCAGGGAAACTGGAAGATATAAGCAATGCTGACTGACATTCCACATGGCAGTGATGGGTGTGCCTCCTTCGACTGGGCCAATGCTCCCTGCTCCCCACATTCTGCTGGCTCCCTAGCACCATTCACTCATTTATATCATCTGCTTGGTTCCTAGACACACTAGAATGTGCTACTGTCCTTCAGGTAAAAGAAGTGATCTTTTATGAAGAGGCACAATGATTATTATTTGACTTTACCAGATATGGAAATTTGGATATTTTTCTTAATTAAAGGATGTAGCTGTGTAAAAAGTAACACAGTATGGTTAAGAATAGTTTCTCCTGATATTTTATAATAAAAAATCAACCTGCTTAGCATTGATATATCTCAAAAGAGCTCTCAACCAGAAAATAGGATGAGTGGAAAATTTTATAGATATAAAAATGTTAACCTGTATCAAAAGATTGGAATTCTTCCTATTTTTCAGAAAACAACTTTTCCTTTCCATACAGATTAACTTTACCTTTTTAAATTTTATTGACCCCCCCAAATTTTATTGCCCCATATAAACATCTTTCATTACCTTAATACTACCAAATAGAGTGTCTCTCAGAAAATTATCCCACAAACAATGGCTTTATTTTTTATATTTTAACTTGTGCCAATTAGGATCAAAAGATGCAATTATCTAGGCCTAGGATTTGTAAAGTATCATCATTTTTAAGTTGTTACTGTTTTTAATTTTGCCATTACAATGTATGAAATCTCAAATTTTGGAGCTGTGAAATGCCTACATGATAAGATCCACTCATTTCATGATATATCCTTCTTGTTTTTTTAAGGTTGAAACCTTATGGCACTGTGAGGTATAGAATATATCATTCAATAAAATAGGACAACATATTTCACTCTTTAAGGGTAAGTTAGCATACCTCCAGGTCACTGTCAGGAGGCGGGGAGGGATTATTTTTTCGGCCTCTTCCTCGGGATTTTGACCCAGAACTCCTGCATGTTCTTTCATCAAGATCTTTGATAGGTGTGGAAGGGCTCTGCACCGTATCAAACTCTCCTAGAAATAACATGATTTGTATCAAGAATAGCACTTCATTTTTTTTATCAGTGTGAGTCTTTGTTATGAATTATCTTAACAAATATTATATAATAGAAAGTTTCTCATGACAAAAAAAGATTTATCAACCCAAATAAACAAAAACCTAATTCAATAAAAAATTTTGCAGGTCACACAATTCCTCATAGTTTCAGTCTGTGTAATCTATTAAATCTGAATGTGTTTTATACTCATTATGTCTTCACCTTTCCTGTTTCTACCTCCACCTACATATTTGTCCAAATTTAGATCTGTTCACATCTCCTTATGTCAGTCAGAGCTCAAAAGAGGAGATATCTTCTGGATCAATCCCATCTCTCCACCTGCAAAGCAGACTCCCAACCTCACCCACTTAGGGAATCATGCTCCATTAGTTGAACCCTCTTAACTTTCTTCCAACTTCTTGCTTTTCTGTGGGCTACAGACTAGCTTAAAAGTCCTTCCCTTAACCTTGCATTTCCACCTAGAAGGTATTTGCTTGCTATCTTCCCTTTTTTAAGTGATACTCTTTGAAGAAAAGTATATAACAGTGCTGTCCAAAAGAAATATAAAGTGAGCCACAAATAAAACCACATATATAATTTAAAAATTTCTAGAAACCACAGTAAAAATATAAAGAAACATGTAGAATTTAATTTTATTCATATGTATTAATTGAGCCAATATAACCATAGAGTTATCATTTCAGCATGTAACTAACAAAAAATTGTTAATGACATTTTACATAATCGCTTTTTCATTTTAAGTCTTTGAACTCCTATGCATTTCACACTTACAGCAGGCTTCCAACTGTACTGGCTATACTACAAGTGCTCGATAGCCACTTGTGGACAACGGTTGCAGCAATGGACAGCACATCTGTCTCTACTTCCTGACATCTGACTTGTCATAATCAGTTCACCAACTCTAATAATACTATTCTTACTCAGAGTCCCTGATGTAATAGACAGACACAGACCTTATCTTCCTAGATGCCCGTACCATGTTTCATCCTCTTAAACACCACCTCCTCAGAGCCATTACTTGGCAGCTGATACCTTGTGGTCTTCTAGCTCTAGAGCTCTCCTACCAGTCCTTTTCTGTCTAGGAGACACGTATTTTCCTTTTCCCATTCTTTGTATGCTGGTATTTAAGAGTTCCAATCTGTGGTCACTGTACTTATTCCACACCGTCTGGGTGATCTATCCCTCTCATTGGTTAATCACCTTCTCTGAGATGACCCATACATAAGTCCATACCTATAACGAGGCCACATCTTACAGAAATTTCAGATTTTGTATCTGACTTCTGCATGGCCCATAGGTACCTGAAAGTCTCACATGTTAAAGCTGGTGATGGAACATTTTATCAGGAAGAAGGACTGAGCAGTGGCAAATCTGTGGGAGCAGGTTAAAATAAACCGAAGCCACAGTGAGATGCTGTAAAACCTCACAAGTAACAAAAGTCAGACTTACTGTAGGACTTGAAGCATTTCACTCAAGTTCTCTGAATCTGTATGGGTAATAGCAGCTGCTTTCTGAATTACTGAGGTAAAATGATGTATGTTTAATTTAATTTAAATCATATTCATAAACATTTCTAGGCGAGTCTGATGCCAAACTACATTACATTTAAATTATACAATTTTTAAATATAAAGAAGTTATAACTATTATGCTTTATCACACAATTATAGAAAATTATTATGAGGACAGCCAAGCAGTTATTAATCTAAATTAACAAATCTGAATAAGCGGGACAACATCTAGGTCGTATTTCTTCTGAGAGGTCCTAAATAAATAGTCATTTTTACAAAGTTGACCTGTAATTATTTCTAATGATTATAACATCTTCTTTGGGAAACATTAGGCATGTCAGGACAGCAAAACAAAAACAAAAACAAAAACCCCACATGTTTGTGCTTCAAATATTATTTGAAAACATTGTTAGCATAGTCCCTATCATAAGTTTCTGCTACCGACTATGTGAGAGTAGACTGTAATAAAAATGTTCTAGAGGTTTCAGCTGAATATCGCCCTATCTTGGAGTAAACTTTCAGCTTATTTGCACAGGCATTAAATGAGGCTTTAGGTATTTAAACAAACACATGCCAACTTAAAAAAAATCACATAAAAATTTTTCTATTTTTAGTTATTTTTTAAGCAGAATTTTCGTAAGGTTACTATGCCCTGCAAGTCAAATGTTCTCGTTCTGATAAAATGCTGATTCAAATTAAGCCCCATTTATTAAGTAAGCTTATAAAATATTTTGGATGACTTCCCACAAAAACCTGTCTTTCTACTCATGACAGATCAATTTTCAGCTGTTAACTATCATGAGACAGCTTTGTTCTTGCAAAAATGCAAGAGCTGAAAGGTCAAAAACTTGCAAAATTCCAAAGCTGTTGTGATCAGTTATGGGTGGCTGATTGTTGACTGGATCTATAAAGAAGGAGTTTGGCAGGAACAACTCAGCTATTAAATGAACTGGAGAGCCAGCTGCTAAAGAGCAGAAGGAAGAAGAAAGGAAAAGGCTAGACATAGGAAGTGTCCGGGTTTCAATAAAAGTAGGATTTGATATCACTGATTCTTGCCAAGTTACAGAAGCCTCTTAAAAGGGTTTTAAGAATTTGGACAAAATACAGACAGAAGTGTTTTGATGAGCATAGAGGCATATCCTTTTAAGAAAACTATAAAGAGTAGCTCCACATTTTTCCTTAGTATGTGTCATGCACTGCCTTCTTTCTTAAAGTGTATTGAAATATGTGTTTGGCTCTATTCACTACTCATTATGGCTGTGAGATTCTTCCATTTTGTAACCTGGAGCAGTTGTTTGCTTTTTCCTTCATGTGGATAGAACTTCATTATATGTGTTTACTATACTTTATCCATTTTGTGAGTGAATATTAGGTTATTTTTAGTTTTAGGCAGTTACAACAAATAAATCTGCTATAAACGTTCTTGTACATGTCTAATGGACATTAGCTCCTATTCTGCTAAGGTATATTCTTAGCAGTGGGACCGCTGGGCCAGAAGGAAAAGGTATGCTCATCTTGCGTAGACACTGACATCCTTTATCAAGTGTGGTTGTATTAATTCACTGACTAGCAACAACATTTTTAGTTGTTCCACATCCTTGCCAATACTTACTATTGCTAGTCTTTTTTATATTAACCACTGTGGGGGTATTTTGGTCTCATTATAGTTTTAATCAGCAACTTCTTGATGAATAATCATGTAAAACCTTTTTTTTGTATTTTTTTGTCCATTTTGTATCTTCTTCTTATGAGGTAACTTTAAATCTTTTGCCTATTAAAAATTTGGGTTATCTTTTTCTTATTGATTTGTCAGAGCTCTTTACTGTAAAACATTTTTTACATATATATGTCTGACTTAAATGCCTCTTTAACCCAGTCCATTTGGTCCTTCATTATTCTTTTTTAATAATGGGAGAACCAGAGGCATATAAGATTTTAAATTAACTTACCAAGATGAAATAGCTCCTATGCAGAATGCTGATATGATTCCAGAATTCCTGCTTTAACCACTAGGCAACACTTTCTTTCCCAAATAGCAACAGATCCTCCATCTTCCAGGTTACAAAGAGGTCAAAATTATATCTGTTTCTACCCATCAAAAGAATATATAGACTTTAAGCAGTTTTGTGAGAGTAAGGGCCAATGAATTCATTGAAAGATCTTCACAGTAAAAGAGTAGGTCCTGAAGAGTGTGTGTGAGTTATCTGGGCTCCTATAGTAACTACCCAGGTGAAACTGTTCTGACCTCTATATCTTTTGAAGGTGCTATCCTTTCTTCTGATAAAGGGAAAAACCAGGAACTTGAGCTCCACTGGTCATTAAACATTTGGTGACACTTTTTTTTTTTTTTAAGAGAAACCTGTTAATTCCAGTGTCTCTGCCAAATTTCACTCAGGTAATTGCACAAGGGTACATTAATCCTGCATGTAGGGAAAAGGCAAGTTAAATGTGGCCAGTCCTTTCTGTCTAAATCCTCTTGTTAGCTTCAATGAAATGCATGAGCACTTTGTCTTCCTTCCTGTCCTTGTGTGAAATGCCATGAAGCTATGGAAAATCTACTGAGTTCTGCCTAAGAAACTGGCTTCTTTTCAAAGAGTGAAGTGATCTTACTGTATTCTTTACTTTTCTGAAGCACCTGTAAAGTTTAATTAGCTAATGTACTGTAATGTTTGCCAAGGTCTCAGTGTAAAGGATGATACTGTTACAAATTACCAATTATATTTCATTTTAAAGATGTTTAAAACATTAAAAGAGGAGGAACTACAAAAATCTCTGATTTTAATGTGCTAATCACCCATCAAACTTTCTTAATGTGAATCAAAAATCTAATATAACTGAGATTATCTTTGGTCAAAGGCAAAAAGAGATCTTTATAAAGGTAACAAACCCAAACATCTGTTCTTAATCAGTATACTACTGTTTCTTTAAATACATTGTCAAACTGCCTAATAAGGTAAAGCCAATAACTGAATGCTATTGCAATTTCCAAATAACATCAGTCATTACCAATTGCCCTAGGCTTTTCTTGGGCCAACACTATAGTGGTTGAATAATTCTCCTTTAATCAGTACAAGAATGAATAACTACACCTTCCAAGCTTTGGTTATTTAGATACAACTTCATTTCCTTTAGGTTTATCTCTAAGCTAGAACCACTAGCTGTCTACTATAGAATATAAAGTACGTTTTTATTTTCAAAATGAGAGCTGTGAATAAGTAAATGATTTATGAAAAACTGTGGATTTAATTGTTAGGTCTCTGCATTTTGTCCAAAATGCAGAGCTGGTCAATGGGAAATACTTTTCATATCCCTTGAACCAAGTACCTCAAATTTCATCAATAACAAAGAAAAATCCCATAGTTATAAACTTTTTGACTTTTTGGATGCATGCCAGATCTTGAAAGGCAAAATCAAACTCAAAACTACCTTGACTAAAGGTCTGGGGTCACAGAATTCCCTAAAAATCCAGACATGTGCATTGTTATAATTTTGGTTGATAGAATAATATAGTTATAAGTAAAAAATTACTTCTTTAAATTCAACAGAAAGTCTGATAAGATCTGAAATACATGTCAAACTGTATTGGTTGGTGCTAGCAATCAATGGGCAGCTGAAGAAATTGCATTCTGATAGTGACTGTGAGAATGTTACACATGGATGTGTCACATCCAAAGTCAAACATTCAGAATATCTACATGCATTTGGTATTTTAAATGTAAACAAAAAAGCTATTCTGAATATTTATTATTCTTTAGTTAATGGGAAGTATTTATCAGTGTCCTTCCTGCAGAGACTCTTTTGTGATCACAATGAAATTAGAGCTAAATCAACCTTTAATTCAAAGTGTTACCCAGTAGATATCATATTTGAAAACCAAATGTTTTTCACTCATGGTAGTTCTAGTCTAGTAAAACCGTCTAGTAAAAACCACCTGCTGGTCCTGGTCCTATCATTCAGTCTCCAGTATCTTGATGAACAAATACTTCTGTGATTTTGTTTTTGAACACAGTCATCCTACCTGTTTTCTCTATGTATTTACTATTGAGAAAAATCTTTCACAGTGTGGTAAGATATCTCCTTAGCTAAAACATCTTCACTATCTGTTAAGCAAGTATTCTGAAATCATGTTTGCTTTTTCCTCCCTTCCATGCATCCCTCCCTCCCTGCCTCCTTCCCTCTCTTTCTTCTTCTCTCTCTCCTTCCTTCCTTCCAAAGATTTATTTATTGATTTGTTTGAGAGAGCACAGGCATGCGTGCAAGTGGGGAGGGAGGAGAGGGAGAGGGAAAGGGAGAGAGTCTCTAGTAGGTTCCTTGCTGAGCAGGGAGCCTAACATGGGGCTCAATCTCATGATCCTGAGATCATGACTTGAGCCAAAACTAAGAATGGGATGCTTAACTGTCTGTGCCAGAAAGGTGCCCCACACAATCTTTAAATTGAGGTAATATTCTTGATGAAATGCAAGTACTGAGTCAATGAGGATCAGGACAGATTTAGAACATGGGATTTAGGCTGAAATGAGTTTAAGGTGACTGAGGCACTAAGGGTGTAATATTTAAGGGCCGTGAAAATGAATGTCTCCTTCAATTGTGTGTCCCGTGCTTCCCTGACCCTACCTTAGTCCTGGCCCTGCATAGGACACAACTGCTCGGAAAGGCTGAGGCTAGATGAAAAGCCTAAACAGGAGCCTTATGTGGGCAAGGACCAGAAATTCAAGGGGGCTGTGTGGTCACAGGAGGAGGATCTAAAGGGAAGATAAGGAGAAAGAAACTGAAAGTAGGAAGATGAAGTCTAGTAGAACACTAAACGGTTTTTCCTTGGGGTCATAGTTAGAGACCCTATTCTGAACAGGCAACCAAAAAGGAATGATGTCACCATTCATCAATTCATGATGAATTCAAGATGAATTCAAGAGCATTTCTTGGCTGTTAATTGAAGTGTCAGCTTCATTATCATTTTTTTTGTTCAAATTAGTTATCTTGCTAATATTCCTCCTATTATAGATGCATTTTCCCTTTTCAACACCTACACAATTTTAATTATTTGCTTGGTATTTGTCCTGCTTGTCAAATGGAAGCTAAAGGGATGTAGAGAACTCATTCACTACTGAAACATCAGCAGTACCTGGAACCTAATAGGCACTCATAAATAATTGTTAAATGGTCTTAAATCTTCTTGGAATCACTGGTCCAGTTAGAAAGAATTTGCAGTGTTGTGACCATGTTTCTTGCCCTTCCAACACTGAGCAAAAAAGATAAGTGTGCACCTTGCAAATAACTGAGGGCAGAAATATAACCTTGAACATATTAATGGTGATCATAAAAATTCTTAACTTCATTTTTTAAGATCAAATCTTGATAGTTCTTTATATATTCTGGATACAAGTCCTTTATCAGATATGCGTTTTATGAGTATTTCCTCTAAATCTGTGGCTTGCCTTTTTATTTTTGTAACAGTGTCTCTCAAATCAAGCAGAAGTTCTTGATTTTATGAAGGCTAATTTCCTTTCTTTTAGGGATTGTGTTTCTAATGTTGTACCTATAACGTGTATACCTACATATGTACCTACAATATTATATAATACTATTATTACATAATAATCTTTATGTAAAAAAATCTTTATGTAATACAAGGCTACAAATACAAGGCTACAAAAATTTCCACTATTTTCTTCTAGAAGGTTTACGATTTTAGCTTTTATGTGTATTGTATTGGTGAGTTATAAGTCAAGATTCTGTTTTAGGATTTGTTTTTTGTTCTTGCTATTATTGTTGTTATTTTCACATACAGACATCCAATTGTTCCAGTACCATTTTTTTGAAAACAAACAAACAAACAAACAAACAACCCTTTATTTTCCAAATGACTTTGCGCCTTTGTCAAAGATCCATTTTCCAGTGTATGCATATTGGGTCTATTTCTTGACTCTTTATTACTACTTCATTGTCCTATGTATCCTTTTGCCAGTACCACACATTTTTGATAACTGTATTTTATAATAACTCATGAAATCAGGCTATGACAGTCCCTAAACCTTGTTCTTATTTTTCAAAATTATTTCAGCTAATCTAGTTTCTTAGCCTTTCCTTGTAATTTTAGAATCATCTTGATGGTTTCTCCAAAAAGTCCTGCTGGAATTTTGAATAGGGCTACAATGAATCTTTATTAAATTTGCTTTTAACTTTAAATACTTCAGCTATGTCAGCAAATTCAAATCCAGTAGCACTGAAGATAAGCTTCTGACAACGAAGAATACAATGGATTTTAAGTAAGTTCTAAACAGACAAAGATATTAAACTACCTACCAATGATCCTATAAATCCTAGGAATGTAGGAAATGTTCACTGGCTGGAGCTACTGATGACTCACAAAGATGAAGGAGCTAAATAGTTTCTCAAGCTTAAAGGAAGATAATATTATTACAGCTTTTCTGTATTGTCAAGATCTTTACAAAAGAAAGGCAAAAGGTCCACTGACCTATTTATATTTATATCCATATATATATATATATGAATGTGTAGTGTGTGTGCATATATATATATATATATTTTTTTTTTTAAATTAAAATCTCTTAACCATCCACATCTAAAAGAAGGGTTTTTCTGAAATGCCAGAAGAAAAGCCTCATCTTATACAGTGGTACTGGTATAGATTAAACATCAGCATAATTACATGACAACTTTCAGCCTTGTTTCCAAAATGTCCTTTTTTCTGAATATTATTAGACCCAGCAAAACATAAAAGTATTTCACCTGGATGAAGATCTGTACCTGGTTGGCTAGTCAGTCCTGGGAGAGATTCCTGCAACTGATAGGTTGAGGTCGAGGATGACGTGCCATCAGCTGTGTTATTTGACGTCATATATGCTCCATACGTTGATGCTGAATAATACTGTGCATACTGGTTTTGGCCAAAGGCTGTGTAGGATGGGTAATCCTGAAATAATAATTGAGACATATGTGTGCCTGAGGGAGAAATTACTTCCAGTGTGCTCCAAAGAAGAGCAATCACTATGGTAACTGAAAGATTAATATTTGGCTCCATTTGTTTTGGAGTCCACAATTTTGAGGTGATCCTAGTGAGTGCACACAGTTATGAACTACCCTGCTGGCTTTGCAAATCAGGTCCAGCAAAATTCTCAAACTGCCTAAAGGTTTCATATACCTCACTTATCCATGATTACTTATTCAAGGATGTACATCATAAGGTCTTATGTACTAGAAGAGGAGAAAAGAAAGAGGAATGAGTCATATTCACAGCACCGGTTTTTACACATTTCCTAATATCACCAGCAAGGAGATGGTATAGCTGCCCTTCTCATCTTCCATAGGGACCTTGTGATTTCTGCTACCCTTCTGGGATACTCTTGATAATTATGGATGAAATAAAGAATAAATTAAAAAATGAGTAAGAGTTTTTTTTACTCAGCCTTTCATAGGCAATGTGTCATCTAAGGTCTTGACTTAAAGTCTCTAGTGAGATTTTCAAACATTGAGTTTGCCTCATTTGCTAGAGAAAAAGAGGAAGTATTGGATCAACTCCTCCAACCTGCCTTTTATTAAAAAATTCTAAGACCCTGAAAGTGGTCTAAGTAATCCTTCAAAATCCTTTTACATAATAAGATAATGAATAAGAATTTGTTGCAATAATTGGCATTTAATGTATTTAGCATGTTTTAGCCCAAGTTGTTATGAGTGATGACAAATCCTTGGTCAGGATTGATTCCCTGATACTTGTTCCTAAGGGAACAAAGGTCCACGTCTGATGTGGTTTCCAAAATGGGAAATTCTCTGTATAAGAAAATATGTGTATTATCAGAAAGGATTAAGTACAGTTGACCCTTGACCAACATGGATTTGAATTGTATGGTTCCCGGGATCCCTGGGTGGCGCAGCGGTTTGGCGCCTGCCTTTGGCCCAGGGCGCGATCCTGGAGACCCGGGATCGAATCTCACGTCGGGCTCCCAGTGCATGGAGCCTGCTTCTCCCTCTGCCTATGTCTCTGCCTCTCTCTCTCTCTCATTCTGTGTGACTATCATAAATAAATAAAAATTAAAAAAAATGAATTGTATGGTTCCCTTCATATGCAGATTTTTTCCAGTAAATATAGTACAGTCTGTAAATGTATTTTCTCTTCCTTGTGGTTTTCTTAATAACATTTTCTACTTTCTAGCTTACTTTACTGTAAGAATACAATATACAATACATATAATATATAAAGTATGTGTTAACTGTTTATGTTATCTGTAAGGCTTCCTGTTAACAGTGGGCTATTTTAGTTAAGTTCTGGAGCAAAGGTTATGCATGGATTTTTGACTGCGTGGAGGGTTGGCACCCCAACTCCCGTGTTGTCTGGTCCAATTCTAGTCTGGCAGAAAACTAAAATTCTATTTGTCTATTAACTTCAGGATCTGATGTTCCTCTTTACCACCTGTAAGCTAAGGAAGAAAACCTCTCAGCAATACTTAGACAAAGTTCCTAGCAACCTATCTTTCTCAAAGTAAAATATTTAAAACAGTACTTACTTGGTTGTCAGGCAGTGTTCTAAGTGGATTTACAACCTCATTTAATCCTCATACTCTCCTATGTGGTATTATTACCCCACTGTGCATTGAGGGGAACGAAGACACAGTGTGGTTAAGTCTGCTCAATGTGGGACAGCTAGTGAGCTTCAGAGCTGGAACTGGAGCCCAGAGACACTGACTCTGACATTAGTGTACTGACACTCTACCTGAGGTTGCCAACGTCCTCATGGGAAGATGGAGGGAATTACAGGAAAGGCCCAGATTGCTGGCTCCTGGTGATTAAAATGTCTTTTTGTAGTCAACATATCTTAAAGATCTCCTCTTCTCTTCATCCCACTATGGTCACCCTGGTCCAAGCTACCTTCACTTCCTGTTGGAGCTGGTGGACAGGTTTTCTAATTTGTCTCATTTCTATGTTGAGGTTTCTCCAAAGTGTAGAAAGCCAGAGTAATCTTTTCAAAACATAAGCTGTATGATGTTATTCTCTTGCTCAAAATCCTTTAATAACTTCCCACTGGGCTTGGAATAAAATTGAAATCCCTTACAGAGGGATACACATACAGAGCCTTACATACCAATACAGTCTGACCTACACAGGGGCAGGCCTATGTTTATACATTTGCTTCCCCATCTGCCCTCATGCACAAACTAAACCCTCCCCTTCTTTGACTTCCTTGGAACACCAAGGATTTTACCTCTCAGAGGTTTGGTACATGCTACTTTCTATGTCTAAAACACCCCAACCCTCTTTTTTCACCAAACCCTTAGAAGATTTGGCCTGAATATCACTTCCATAGAGAAGCATTCCACAATATCTTCCCTACTCAAAATTAGATTTCTATTAATATTTTTACTAGGACTCTGTTACAACTCCTCATGCTTTCCAATTCTATATTTATTTATGTGTTTACTGATAAGTTTATGGTTAGTAATGCCTAGTAGTATCTCAGTAGTCGCTAAGCCCCAGGAGGCAGGAACCAGGTTCTATCCACTCCTATCCTCACTTAACATGTCTCCAGCATACAGACCAGTTCCTAATACATTATAACTACTCAATAACTATTAACTAAAATAATGGACTGGTATTCCAACTATGGTCCAAAATACAGGTTATGTTTTATATTGGAGCCACTGTATTTAAATCATCAGATAGTAGTGGATCTGTTTTATAACATAAATCTTTCTTGTCCTTTATGAATCTTTTTAAAATATTTTTCTTCCACACTACTTAATAATCAAATTTCTATTTTTCCTTTTGTTACATTAATAAACATTAAAAGAAGGTAATATAATTCCTTCAGTAAATCCAAAGAGCACACGTGTGCAATAAAACTTAGATTTTAGAATATATAAAAGTCCAACAACTATGTTAAAGTAAAATAGTGTATTATCTACCATGGAAATCAAATATCCTTCTATCTCAACTACTTTGAACATGACTAAGAACTAGGGAATAAGGACAAAAGATTCTGAAGCATCAGTATATTCACTCATCAGCAATATTCACTCTTGCTCCACACATAACTCTAACAAACTAGATTTTAGAACTCACAAAAATACCAAGAAAACATAGTTAGGAAAGGGACTAAGGATTGCTAGAGGCAAGTACAGTGACAAAAGCAAAAATCATAGCTGTCAGGAAGTAAGAATCAAATATTTATTAAAATGAATCACAGAACTAAAAGAAAAAAAATCCAAGAGGCATTTGGTCTAATAACAAATATTCTGGATTTAAAAAGTCATAACCTAATTCTTGGTTGTAGTTCAATCTCTTCACAACAACTTATCCAAAAAACAAAATTATGTTTAGTACAGTTTAAGATCATGAGAAAATATGCAATACATTGTGTAATTATATGCCAAATGATTAAAATAATCAGAGCTTAAATGTTTGAAAAGCAAATTTTTAGCAACCAGAAAACCTAAAATACCCAGAATAAAACAGATCCCAAGAATTCTGGATAGCTAATTTTTACCACCTTGAAATGCCATCTTAATTTTAAATACAGAAATCTTTTTTTTCTAGGAGAATATGCACTTATATAACAACCTGAAAGTATTCCTCATAGATATGAAACAAATACAAAAAGCCTAAATACAAAAAAGTTACTATACCTGTTGTGAACTGCTAAAATTTGTTGAATTGGAAACTGAATTATTTGCATAAATAGTAGATGATGGTGCAAAACTAGAACCTAGAAATAAAGAACAAGCTGCATTTAAAAAGTATTTCTTTGCAAAATAATAAAACACTTCACTTTGCAGAATCCAAGTAGATAAATATATTTTTAATTTTGTTAAGGCAACAAAATGTGCAATTTGAAGTTGAGAGATTTATAAGGAAAAATGTGTCGTAGCTCTATCCCTCTTGTGACAACAGTTAAAGTCTTTGGTACAGATGTCTGTTGGACTCAAGAGTACATGGGAATGGTCTTAATTCAGCAGCTAAACTTTAAAAGCTAAATGTTGAAAGAGCAGAGGTTCTCAAAGAATAAAATACTATGCAAGCAGAGTGCTTCTAGGAAGCTACTGGAACTTTTAAATGGTCATACCAACTGCATATGAACACAGAAACCACTTGAGTTAAACATTTGGATGAGATTAGCTTAAGAAACAAACACAGAACCTACTAAAAATTGATGCTTACAGCAACCTTTTATTTCCTCCTATGTCCTTTTCTTACAACCAAGAGAGATGTGAACTAGGGCTCAGCTTCAAGGGAGAGCTGTTCACTACAATCACATAAGGTTTGAGGGCCTTCTAAAATTTGACTATAAGGTTATGGGGCTCCTGGGTGGCTAAGTCAGTTAACTGACTGTCTTTGGCTCAGATCATGATCTCAGGGTCCTGGGATCCAGCCCTGCGTTGGGCTCTTTGCTTAGTGGGGAGTCTGCTTCTCCCTCTCCTTCTCTCCCCATATTGCCCCCCATCCCCTGCTCTTGCACAGTCTTCCTCAAATAAATAAATAAAACCTTTTTTAAAATTTTTAAAAAATGAAATTTGACTATAAGGTCAGAATTTTACTTATTTTTTTTAAATTAGGGCAAAAATAAGTGAAATATAAATTTAGAGATTTTTTTAAAAAAATATGTTCTATGGGGCAGCCCGGGTGGCTCAGCGGTTTAGCGCCGCCTTCAGCCAGGGTGTGATCCTGGAGACCTGGGATCGAGTCCCACATTGGGCTCCCTGCATGGAGCCTGCTTCTTCCTCTGCCTGTGTCTCTGCCTCTCTCTCTCTCTCTCTCTCTCTCTCTCTCTCTCTCTCTCTTTCTCTCTCTCTGTGTACCTCATGAATAAATAAATAAAAATCTTAAAGAAAATCATGTTCTATGGAATGTACTTGTAAAGAAGTAAAATGAAAGACTATTGACAGAGCTGATTGTTTTATCAACGTGTTCTGAACTGCAATAATATTATCTAATTAACACAAACTGACCTAGTCCAGAATGTCCAATACGAAACTATTTTGGGGAATAAGTGAAAGTGTACTCATAGTTGCTTTTACTCCTAACTGAAGCTGTGCGGCAGCTCATTGGGGCTTTAGCATTTATGCAAGTATATTTCTACCTACATTTTAGGTAAAAAGAGACCTGCTATTTCAGCCAAAAAAGTCTAGATAATTATTTCATTTTAGTCAATGGATTAAAATTTCAACACTAGTTGATTAAAATATGTTCATGTAACCCCAAATGTATGACTAATGATATAGAAAAAATGATAGAAAAAACTTTTAATGTATTTACTATGTCACTAAAGTTCTTTCTGCAATTACTAAATAATGATCACACATAGAAGCAAAATGAAATACTCATACAGGAGGATTTTCTTCAGGTGGAGGTACAAATTATATGAACACTCCTATTAAGAAATATAGTATTAATAGAGGAGAGGTATATTAGGAATGAACAGATACTCCACAATCATTCAATGGTAAACGGGATCTAGAAAAGTACTAATTCAATTATAAATATAATTAAAACTGCGTTATATGCTTAAGGAATACTGACAAAAAAACCCTGGGACTTGACATGAATTTTTGAACCTTGCTTAAGTAGATGCCATAATGTGTGCCTGGCATGGCTCAGAGGTTACTTTGTTTGGACCTAGTGTCCTGCCAGTTTTATGCAACTTCAACTTACATACTGAAATTTGGTATGGGTCATGTTTCTTGATGTATATTCAATTCCTTTCATCACATTTTTTTCCCCTAGTTATTTGTCTTTCCTGATGTGAACAGCAATAACAATTAAAACCATTCTCATGAAGGCATATTCCTAATCTGCAGCCAAGGAGTCTTGTTCAGAGAATTCCTCCTCCCATATATTTCCTGTGTGGTGACTTACCTGGCATCTGGTAAGAATAAGGCGTCTGGCCTGGCTGTGGGGTGGAAAACCCCGGGCTGTAACTGAGGCACCCACTCTGTAATGGGGACTGGGTCTGTGAAAGTCCACTCTCTGTTTTGATGCCTGGCAACATCACGCCCAGATCTGTTTAGGAAATGCATGTGCAGACCTTTTAGTTAGTAAAATGACCTTACTCCTGAGCTGTAACTTATGCTAGAATATCTAAGCACGAGGCAGCAGGATTACCCACTCATAAGCAAAGGAGCAGAGAGATGTGAGATACCGTAAGTGGGCAGGCTGTAGGGCTGTCCGGTCTGTGAGTAGGCTGTGTAGACGGCCGGCTGCTGCATCCCCGAATATTGAGTCTGGCCTGCATAGGCAGACATTGTTTGAGCTGCTGGTGTAGAAAGAATGTGTGGATAGGGCCTAAATATCAGAAAAATAGCATTACTGTGGCAACAAAGACTGCATACTTCAAACAGCTTAGATTCAGTGAAACCTTATAATACCCAGGAAGTAATCCTCTTCTTTATCCACAATACAATTATAACAACAAGGAAAGGGCAAAAGTCCAAGGGTCCGGAGCCCAAGCTCTGCTACAAATCTGTCTAGTGACTTAGGACAAATGGTTTAAACTCCCTAAAGGCTTATACCTCACCTATAAAATGAAGACTTTGGATCTGATATTATATCTAAAGTCTCTTCCAGGTATATAATTCTTGTTTACATCTGAAATAGTATTCCAATTAAGGTGCAGACAAGGGAAGTGGAGCACAGGCCAGTTAATATGCTCATGAGCATACTTCCAGTCACTGTGAGTGACCTAATGCTATATGACAGACACAAAAGTCATGAAAAGCCCTACTAAGAACTCTACCAGAGAGGAGGGGGTGGGGGGGAAGAAAAAAAAAGAAAAGAAAGGAAAAAAATACACAGCTGCTTCCTGAAAAGAAATGGAATGCCATTCTCTTTATCGTGCCACATTTTACAGAATGCTCCCAAATAGATATCCAAAACCAGTCTGTACTTAAGGGCAGAGACTGTAGTTTCTGCAGAAAATAACATTTAAATGTGTGTGAATTACGAATCCCAAATCTCAACACATCTGGCTGATTGCAACCAAATTCAGATATATACCTAATATTGTTAACCTTGAAAATTTCTACCACTGTCTTCAATAAGTTGACTTCTTTGGGGACACCTGGGTGGCTCAGTGGTTGAGCGTCTGCCTTTATTTGGCTCAGGTCATGATCCCGGGGTCCTGGAATTGAGTCCTCCATCAGGTTCCCCACAGGGAGCCTGCTTCTCCCCTTCTCCCTCTGCCTATGTCTCTGCCTCTCTGTGTCTCTCATGAGTAAATAGATAAAATCTTTTAAAAAAAAGTTGACTTCATTTATGTTTTTTAGAACTTGATATCCAATGAAAATAATGTAATATGGAATGAATTATGAAGTGTTAACATTTGAATAAAATGCAATCTTTTTAGATTTTCTTTAAGCTAGTCAGCATTTTTGAATTTCCATTAAGAAATTTCTGTTTTCTGGTTGAGCTTGATGCTTTCCTCAAGTTATATAATCCAAAATTAAATGAACTGTCTGGACAAACATGAGTCTATCTGTATTTCTAGATTTGTACAGGATATTTATCCACATGTCTAATCCACCCAACTAATTTATCCCAGCATCCATATACTGAACTATCTATAACACACATATACATAAATGTATCCCAATTTGAAGTTCTGTCATGCAAATACAGATTAATAAAGGTAATCTTGGAAAATGATTCTAACAAATTTGGAAGAATCTATTGAGCACTTACTTGGAAGGATAGAGCTGTGGGGAGTATTGATGTGCTGATCTGGGGCTGTAGCCACTACTTGTTATTACTGTAAGACATAAAAACCAGTGCAAAAAAAGTTGCTTCATGAGTATGTTTCACTAGAATGACATAACCAGTTTGAAGAAATTATCATGTTAAAGAGATGTTTCTAAAAATTCACTCATTTTCTAAACAGAAAATTTTATCTTCTAAACAGAAACAGATGCCTAAATATTTTCTTCTAATTGAACTACTTCAAGTCTGGTTTAAGAGCATAAAAAGAAATCCTCAAGCGTAAAATGAAATCTTTTCACAAATCCTTTCTCTCTGCCGTTCTTTTACTTTTCAAATCAGTAGCATATCCTTATGTATTAAGTATGAATAATTATCTTTGATTATAGACAATTAAGATTTCATGACATAAAAGTAAATTTTTGAAATTTTCAAACTTCATGTTTTAGGTCTTAAATTTCACATACGACAGCAACATTATCGCTCTTCCTCCATATTTGTTCTACTAAAAATACAATAAAAAATCAATAAAATTGTGAGGTTCCAACTTCATTTTGAAATTATAAAATGCTACAGTTTTATATTGCCTTTAATTTTACCAATGAAATTAATTAAAAATGCAGAGTTCAAAATACTCGAGTACTAACTAGGGCATGCATAGAAAGCAATGAGTGATAATGCGCCACATCTTAAGAAACATAATTGTATAATGCAACAGCAATCATATTTACAAATATATTTTGAACTATCAGAGAGAGTATTTTCTTTTTAGAAGAACTTAGAGGTGAAAGTCAGGTCCTATTAACATTTTGTCCTAACACGAAGCCCTAAACTGGAATGCATTCAGAAATTTGGAAGTCTCTCTTTCCTTCAACCATCTGCGTTGACTAAGACAGATGTATTGCAAAAACATGGACTCCAAAGTGTTGAGGCAGTCCCTTCAGAGCCAATCCGTACTGGGCAAGCACACAGAGTGTCTTTATTAGGCCATCTGCTGTTCATTCACTTTTCAAAAAGATTAAAGTAGTATACAATGCAGCGCTGGAATTAGTTTAGTCTAATCAATCATAGTTATACTTCAAAGTACTACGTCCTTTCTAAGTTGTTCATAATAATTCTGGAGCTAAACTTTTAGAATTGTAAAAGTGACAAACAGGTTTAGGTTGCTAACTATTTTATGAAACATGATATATTTCTATATCCAAATGCTATTAAGTACCCTTGTGATCTGTCATTTCATAAACACATAGAATTTAATGTATTTAAATGCTATTTGGCCTATAAGCTCTAGGTATGGAAAGTATATTATAGTTTTCATAGAAAGTAGTTTAGTGCAGAAAGTATGTTTTCAAGGATACCATGAATCAATTTTGGAAATATGAATATGACTTGAGGTGTCATGTTCTAAATATTTTAACCAAGCAAAATTTAAGTGAATTTGCTATATAAATTTGAAAATCATTTGACGAATGAACCATTAATTTCCTACTGATTTATTAAAAGCTTAACATTTAAAACTTTCAAATCACTTCAATGAGAACACACTTTTTTTACCACCCCACAGGCATTAAGTGTGTATTACATAATAGCAATAGTGTTATTCCCCAGGAAATTCCATCTGATTTATTAACTCAGAATAGTGAATCCTTGTTTTTCTTTGCAAAAATATAGTTAAGTGAGGCATAACTCCATGTATTTTTGTCTCAAACTTAGAAAACATCACTTTGGCACACTTAAGAGTTTATAGAAATCAGCTCTTCTCAAGATCGCAAGTCACAAAGCTTTTCCAAAGAGACATCAAATAATGAAAGAAGCATTCACCACAGCAGCTTTTATAAAATAAGCCAAAGGATAAAATTATTTCAGAAAAAAACTCCATATACCTGAATTGAAATCTGAATAAATTACGATCTTCCTCTCTCTAATGAGTGAATCTAGACAACATTAAAATAATGTACCCATAACAGTATCAAGGCTCAACATTTAAAATTTCTATCAGTCTATATGTTCACATCTAAATAGGATGCAAAACCTTTGGCTCAGGAAACTAAGATGTTCACACAAAACTTGGAGAACTTATGCTCCTTAACTAAAATTTATATATTTATTCTAAGTTATGTATCTGCAGATATCTGAAAACAACAAAATTGGACTAAAGTGGGTTGAGATTATGCTGACCGAAGTACAATCTGTTCCTCCACAGGGCAGCCTAATCTCCAGTATGGTTTCTGGAATACCATGTACAGATTTGGGAGACTTTCCTTTCATTCCCCATTGTCATTTAATTAATCAAGAGATTACAAAAAGCACTCAAATCTCATTATACTCCATCATCTCTGCAGATAAAAGTAAGCAAACTGCTTGTTTTCAAAATGTCTTGAACATAAAGACTTCTAACTCTGGGAAATGAACTAGGGGTGGTGGAAGGGGAGGAGGGCGGGGGGTGGGGGTGAATGGGTGACGGGCACGGAGGGGGACACTTGACGGGATGAGCACTGGGTGTTATTCTGTATGTTGGTAAATTGAACACCAATAAAAATTAATTTATTAAAAAAAAAGAATTCCAACAACTCAAAAATAAAAATATAAATTCATTAGTTATGTAAAAAAAAAACAAAATGTCTTGAAAATTAATTAAAACAAATTTCTATACAATATGACCAGATTCTCAGAAGGTGATGCAAAGAATTTTAAGGTTTTACTGTAATTACTGTGACACCTTAGGTGAGACTCTCAATAGGGTAGGAGATGGGTAGTGAAGGGTGGGGGTAGGTAGGAATTTTGCCTGCAAGGGGACATTTTAAATGTCTGGAGACAATTTGGGTTGTCATAACTAGGGAGAGCTATGGTCATTCTGGGACAGATGACAGGGATGCTGCTAAACATCTTCCAGTGCAGAGGGCAGATCCTTTACCACATAAAAAAAGGAAAAAAAGCTAAATTTTTAATAGTGTTGCTGTTGAGAATCCCTGACTTAGAACATTGTGGTAAAAAAGAACCTGGTCCATGGTGTTGGGAATGTTCTATATCTGCGTTGTCCAATATGAGAGCCACTAAAAGACAACATGCAGCTTCAAACACTTGAACTGTGACTGCTGTGACTAGAGAGAAAATTTTTACTTTTACCAAATTTTAAATAATTTCAACTTCAATAGCCACATATGGCTATGGGACAGCACAGCCCTAGATAAGAGAAAACTGGGAAACTATTTGTAAAGATAATGTGAGTGAATTTTAGATAGGATGACCAAATTTTAAATAATTTCAACTTCAACAGCCACATATGGCTATGGGACAGCACAGCCCTAGGTAAGAGAAAACTGGGAAACTATTTGTAAAGATAATGTGAGCGAATTTTAGATAGGATGACCACTCACAGACACTTCTTTTTCCATTTTCGTATTTTTCAATAGGGTATTACAGAAGGACCCCTGGGCAGATCAGGACACCGCTCTGTACTCATTCATACCAGTGACCAGCTGTGAGGCCTGGACTGTATGGCCTTCACCACCCTTAACTTAACTGCACCTCTGTGTTCTTGCCTATAAATCAGATCAGAGACCTCTGAAATTCCTTGTGGAATTCTACAGTTTTGTCATTTAGTTTTCAATAAACTTGTGGTATGGAATTTAAGTATGCCGGCAATTACTTAGTAATTCCACTCCTTTTCCTAAAAATGTGTTCACATGCCTTCACTTTGCAGAAAGTTTGTAAGAGTTATGGTAGGTGAGCAATAAAAATGGCTAGAGTAAGTTGGCACCCATTTATCTCCTGGAAAGCAAGTGAATTGCTATAAAGGATATGGACTAGCACACGTGAATCTCAATGCAGAGTGAATTATTATCTTTCTGTCTAAAATACTAATATTTATGTGAATCTACAGCTACTGCTTCCACTCAGTGTGAACTAATGAAAGGGGATCATCTGCTTCTACAAAAATCAAATGTATGCTCCAATGATACTATATTCAAGGACATACCCCAACTCTTTTACACGAAGCATACCCACGTAAGACCTTTGTATGTGAGGATATGGATAAAACATGATAGCAGAATAACAGAACCAAGAAGTAATTAGCACAAATACTCTTCCAGGTTTACTGTTTACCTTTGTGTTATCCAAATTCCTTTTCAGGTTAAAAAAAAATTCTTTCGCCAGATAATAAACTAAACAAAGTACTGTAACTTAAAATCTTTAACGAAATCAAATTAATGCATGTACTTTGTACCCACCTGGGAGTTATCAGGTATTTATATTTTAAAGGATTGATGTTTAAAGACATGCTATTGTTCTCTTTGAAGCACTGAGTGAAAGTAGTGCTCTCAGGCTGGGTTCTAATGCAACCAGCATGTGTCCTCCTGCAGCCCATTAACCTTTAATACTTGTCACTCAGCTGCTTACACAGGAGGATTTTTTTTAAACCCAGAGAGGAAACAAGGTTATTTAGAAGGAATCAAATGGATAGTTTTACATCTCAAATGTTGGGAGAGAAGGGAGTTTTTATGCCATTTAAATGGACAAGGGAACAAAGCCAACTACTACAACCTAATTGTTAAATTAAACACTGTATAAAGTAATTACAAAGGAAGCCAGCCCTGCTGATTTCTAACAAGAAAGTCAACTGAAAATCCAGCAACATGATTCCAAATATCATTTTTAAAAATATGTGCAGTTAGGACAATTAGTTCTAAAAAAAATAAATCTAATGCTAAGTTTATAAAAATCCGCCTTCTCAAAACTCCACTTTGGTATTTATGGTGTTCATTCATGAGGAAGATGGTGTGTACCCCAATGTGCACATAGCAACGCATGAGCTTAAGGCTTTACCTGACCCAGTAAAAGTGTCAAGGGCTCCATCTCCGGTGGTGGTGGCCGCTTCACTGCTGTTCAAAGGCTCTGTTTTGACTGCAAGGAGAGACACTATATAGAAGAATAAGTACATGTGAGTTTTATTTCTAGATTTTAATCAACAACGCTGACTGTTGCAACTAGTGGCTTTTTGAGCTACATGGGCATGCAAGAGAAAACCTGAGAGGTCGATGAAGAGAGTGTTGTTAATTTAGCTTCTTAAAAAATGGACATGCATTTGTAGAGGATTTACTGTTAAATTCCTCTAAGCTAGTTTCTCAGTTCTGGTTTTTTAAAAGGCAGTGGACCTTATAAAGGGAAGCAGCAGTACACATATTTGCATTTGTATCTCACCTGAGCACACTCTGACATTACAGTCCAAAGACAGAAAAGAAGGAATCACGGCACATTTAATCCAAATCACAACATAGAGATATACTAGCTTGTATTTTATCCTTCCCTAAGAGACATTTGGAAAAAGAAAAATGATTGACGGCATAAAAGTACAATGGAGGCATCTGTAAATACAGAAACCACAGCCCTGCTCCTGAGATGGGTAGAAAACGAGGCATTCCATAAACTTCTGCTCTTGAAATACTAAACAGTCAGAAGGTGTAGGCTTTTTTTTTTTTTAGATTTTATTTATTTATTCATGAGAGACACAGAGAAGGAGAGAGAGAGAGGCAGAGACACAGGCAGAGAGAGAAGCAGGCTCCATGCAGGGAGCCCGATGTGGGATTCGATCCCGGGTCTCCAGGATCAGGCCCTGGACCGAAGGCGGCGCTAAACCACTGAGCCACCGGGGCTGCCCAAGGTGTAGGCTTTTTAAATTTTATTTTAACTGTGTGATGATTTTTAATGCGTCACAGAGATAAGCAGAGAGAAAGAGATGATTTCTACAGCACCAAGTACATCTTCCGAAAGTCTTTAAAATGTTCTTTCTACTTCGAAGTGGTATATTCTGCCAAAATCCTCCCCTGGGCACTGTGTCACTGGTGCACATCATTGTCATTACTAGATTTGGGAGCGGGGGGGGGGGGGCAAGAAAAGCCACCACCTGGGTTTGTCACACCATATTTTCCCTTTGTGGGCAAAGCTCTGCTACACAGAACACAACGGCATGGGAGCACACGAAATGATGTTCTACTTAACACCTCTGGCATTTCCTGGTCACAAGGGGGATGCTGCAGTTAAACAACTTAGAAGCGACAGAAAACCGTAAAGAAGAAAGCCGGAGGCTGGCCAACTGTGAGCAACCACGGCAGAAAGAAGAGCAGGCCCGAGTGTGTGCACCCTCCAAGCGCGTCAGCGATGCTACTCTGTTAGAGAAGCAGCCAGCTCGTGGAGGAACATGCGCTCAGGATGAAGCGCTCTTTCCACAGGGACAGAACTGAGCGGACCCGCCCGCAGCAAGCCCCGGGGTTACCCTAGCGTCCAGGACTTAATAATGGCACAAAAATCTGCCTGAAGGTTCAGAGAAGTGTAAAGGCTGGAAGGCAGAAGTGAAGCAATTTGGATTACTTATCCTAGCAAAGGGGAAGCTTCAGGTTGCTCTATTTCTCAATAGGCAACACTAATCTGAGGAATAAGGTCTAGTTTCTTGTATAATGATAATGAGTTGGTACCTCAAACTTTAAGCAGTGATTTAGATAGTAGTCCACTGATAGTTCTACCTGACGACTAATTATATTTATCACTACAGAATTATTTGCTACCACAGACCTATTTATCCAGAGCTTACTATGTGCTAGACCACCGACGTGGAGCTAATTGTTAAAACAGCTCTGATTGATATGAACCACTACATCCCTATACAACAGGAAGCTGAAGGGCAGCTTGCACTACATTCCTTTGCAGGAGATAAACTATTCTCTGAACTAGGGTCGTTAGCTCCACATCCACTCTCTCTCCACTGCAACAAGCGGCCTTCAGGTATGAAAATGGCTTATGTTATATGTTCACCACAGGGACTTTTCACAAAGGCTCAGAGATGGACAAGAACAGGCTCATCCTCTAGACAAGCATACTTAAGAAAACTGTCATAAATGAAACTGCAAATATGAGAACAGGCTACTAAAGTATGTTTTCCATTTCTTTCTCATGAAATATCTTAAAAGGCAATAAGTAGCAAGTTTGAAAGCAAATAGTAACAGCACACGCTTAAAAGATAATACATGCCAGGTGCTGTTACTGTGCTTTGCAAATAGGAACTCATTTCTTCCTCACAACAATCACATGAAGTAGATAATATTATCATTGTAATTCTTCAGATAATGAAACTGAAGCACAAAGTACCTAAATAACTTGTCTACAGTCACACAGCTAGTAAGAGCTAGAATATGAGACCAGGTAGTATAGTTTCAGAATCCAAATTCTAATCCATACTGTCCCACAGGAAGCACTAACTAATCAAGAATTCCTCTCATCTGTATGAAGATGACCCAGAGTGTGACCTACATGGACGTGAAGTGCTCTCTGATGTGATGTTCACATTCAACTTCTGACAAAAAAGCATAGTCCAAAGCCTTCAGCAACACTAATACAAAGGACAGTCTCCTGAAACTTCCAAATTCTAATACTGGCTAAACTCCTATTTACATGTGTCTTAAATCTATAAATACCTGTAAAACAGGTGTAAAAATTATATATTTTACTTGTGAATTGAGGAGAAACAGGCACAACATGAGCTAGGTCTAAAAAAACTAGTCTAGAGGCCAGACGTGAGGATTAGTTTTGTTACTTTGGATTCCAACTTTGTATTGATGTTGATTATAATCTCCATTTGAAAGTTTCAGGTGGTCAAAAGCAGCAGAAGAAGAGGGAGACAGAGTTGGTGGTTGTATTCACCATACTGGAAACATCTCTCATTAAATTTTAAACATCTCTGCATTTAGTCAAAGACAGACAAAGAAGTCATTTTACTGAGAAAAGGCATCTGTAGAAAGTATATGAAGAAAAGCATGTGTCAAGATGTGTTCAGTATACTAATATGCATGGTTCTAAAGTTATAATTCAACAAATGGATTTGGGGGAAAACTGCACATTAATCCTAATTTATTTTTCATATGCAGATAAGAACAAAAAGTCAAAGAAGGCAATTTGATTATGTTGCTATGGAAAATAAATTATTCTCACATTAGGTAGATATCAACAAATATCTCTTGACATCTCCAAGTAGAATGCAAGGTTAATTTGGTTTGCTATTGTAAAGAAAAAAATATCACGTTAGGTCATAATATATAATTTGGCTCTTCTAGGGGCAGAAAACTTGAGAAGTGAAATGGACATTCCATATATAATTAGTTGATTAAAAAGATGATAGAATACAAATAAGTACCTAATATTTATAAAACACATAACTAGTACAAAGAAAACACTGTTTTAATTACAAAGTTTGAAAAATGCAAGTCAATTCCAATAAAGGTTCCAAATATATTTGAAATGTATTCCATTTTTTTTGTCTTGGTTTTGTTTCTGCATTTTAAATTAGATATACCATATACTTTTCTAGTGGCAGCCAAATTTGTTTTTAGTTAAATACATGCAAGGTATTACTGGAAAGATATTCATCAATGAACCAGCTTACTATTTTCTAAAATTTATAAAAATCCTCATTCCAAATGATTATTGATGTATATTCATTTCATGTTCAAATGTTTTCTTTTCTCACTGTATTTCACTTTCCTTAACTTTACACAGGTTCAACAGGGCTTTTAACGTATTAGGACAATGTCCACAATCATTACATGCTATAAAATGGAAAGGACAATCTTCTATAAGAGAGAAATATATTTTTCAACAAAATGAAACTTAAAAACACGTCTTGATTTCACAAGTAGAAATCTTATTTTAATGTCCTAAGTTAAAGAGTATTATGGTTTTATTATTCTATGTGTTCAAAATAAGGAATTCAGGGTTCAGAGTTAATCCAGTAATTCAGGGTTTCTCTAAAAGTGGGATGAGAAACTATATACAGAATTTTGTACAAAATTTATTATTCAAGAATACTTGTATTGTAAACGTCCCCCCCCAGTTATATATTTATAATTTGGATGTTTTTCATAAAGCCAAACGTTAAGTAACAAGTCAAAATATTTTTAATATAGTAATTTTAATATATTGGCATAATTGGATTTTATTTTTTACCTTCAAAAATAATTGATATCTATGGACTAAATCAATATTGTAGTGATTGTTGTCAGGTGTGAGCTGTGCCTAAGCCTTCATCCATACCCTCCTATGCATATTTTCTTTTTTTATTTTTTTTAATTTTTATTTATTTATGATAGTCACAGAGAGAGAGAGAGGCAGAGACATAGGCAGAGGGAGAAGCAGGCTCCATGCACCAGGAGCCCCATGTGGGATTCGATTCCGGGTCTCCAGGATCGCGCCCTGGGCCAAAGGAAGGCGCCAAACCGCTGCGCCACCCAGGGATCCCCTCCTATGCATATTTTCAAAGCAAATTTAATCTTGTCTGTTCAGATTATCTTTGGAACTCAAGCACAACAGTAACGTATATTAATTATTTGGGAAGAAAGTCTGTTTATTATAATAATTCAAAGTTTATGTCCAATAGTTACATAAGCAGATTTAATCCTTGAAAGAGAAGGTAACCCAAGTAATTTACATTGTACATGTCATATTCCAAAATCTGTGCTTAAACTGGGATATACTTCTTTTTGAACCAGAAAATCACCAATAGCACCTTTTGACAGCACAAGTTCTACGAAGAGTTTTAGGAGGAGTTAGATCAGGAAGGATACAATTTATAACACTGCAAGGGAGCACGCAGTACTGCCTACCAGTTTTAATAATTAGTATAGCCTATGATTTATGTTTGTCTAAATCAATATATTCATCTAAAATTTATGAGCACCAAGTGTCTTTCACTCCTAAATATCCAGAAAATAATTTTGTAAAATAATTTGATGAAGCAATTTATGGCTTTCATTCCAAAAAACCCCACCAAAATCTAAAAAGAACAGAGAGCCACAATAGGTGGTTCTACTGTACAAACATAACATCTGGAAGCAAACTCTTTGCGTAAGTCAGCTATATAATAAATATAATAAACATTTGGGAAGATTCTATTCTATGATAAAAAGATTTTAAATACAGAAAATGTTATAAATCTGATCAGAATGTCTGATTTAGGTTCCCCCAAACCTTCTCTTTAAAGTATTTTCTTAATCCCCATGTAGAATCAAATATTCCCTCCCTCTACTATGCACCCACCTTGAACGCATTATGTACTCATTACTTTCTTGTCTGTTTCCCTCTGCTAGACTTTTGGTCCCTTGATGGCTAGTATCATATTCTATAGGTCATTGGGTTCCCATTTCCTAGCACAGAGCCTGCCATATAACGGGAACTTGATACATTTTAATTGGGAAAGTGAAAATCCACTTTTAGATCCTATCCTAAGCAGTTCCAACAGATACGTGTTTTTGTAAAGTACAGAAAATGACTCTTGACACCATTAAGCAAATAAAAATCTTACCTATTTCTTTAAGTAACTTTTCATATGATTGGCATGGATTTATATATACATATACAGAGCATACACACAGCTCTATATCCAGAGTCAGCTAACTACATCCCACATGCCAAATCTTCCCCATGGCCTGTTTCTGTATAGCCTGTGAGCTATGAATGGCTTTTACATTTTTCAATAGTTGGAGAATATCAAAAGGAGCATATCTATAACATGTGAAAATTTTGTAAAATTCAAATTTCAGTGTTCATAGATCAAGTTTAATTTTAACACAGCCAAGGTCATTGTCCATGACTGTTTTTGTGGAACAATAGCAGAACTGAATAGTTACAACAGAGACCACATAACCTGCAAAGCCTAAAATATTTACTATCTGACTCTTTACCAAAAAAGTCTGTTAACTACTGATCTATATGCTAGGGTATGATTGCAATTTATTTCACTTTTATTGACAGTTCTACATTTTAACAATTTTATAAGCAACAAAAATTTGAAAGAAAAATTAGTTTCCAATATAAATCTCCAGATGTAATTATATAATTAGGACTAAGGTGTTTAAACACTTTAAATAACTTGAAGGAAAAAATGTAATATTATAAAGTACCAATGCAATATGGCAGGTGATACCATGAATTTGTTCATATTAGTTAAAACTATATAATTAAAATCCTTTCGAAATCTCTAAATTAATGGAAAGATTTTTAAAAGCACTAAATTAGCTTTTGCTTTTTCCTTTTATTATAATAATAAACAATAAAACCCAGAATTAAAAATAAAACAGTTTACTGTCAATGGGACAGAGATGCACCAAATCCTTAAGTGTGTGCGATGAGCACCCAACATACAACCATAACAAACACCCCAAAGTCATTAAAATTCATAAATTCACAAATTTCATATCAATATGTCACTAGACTACATTGTTAATATCAAAGTATACCTAACATTTTATTACTAAAAGTTTGCCTTCTTTGGCCAGTTTGAACATTCTAAATGCAGAAAAATATTTAATACGACCTAACATTGGAGAGTCTTTTAACATGTGCATGTTTTCATTTTTCTTAAAAACTACTGCCTAATTATTGAATTACTAATTAGATAAAGGGAAATAGATTGGTTTTTACTGGCAGACAATTTGTACACACTGTTTAAGACAAAAGCTTTGGCAGGGAAATAATATTATCCTCCTTTTATGGAAAGAGATTAAGGCTCAGAGAGGTTAAGTAATTTGCCCAAGGTGACACAGCTAGTAAGTGTGTTCCTCCTAACATACAGGTCTTTTTTTTTCCCACATGGCCACGTGACTCTTAACACTAACACTAAAAACTAGGAAAATCTGATGCTTAACACTTAGAAAAATGTTTCTGGTTGAGATTAGATCTAAATTACTAAATACTGATTGTGCATATTGACTATGGTAAAGGTGCCCATGCTACAAGAATATTTTAGAATAGAGCAATAGCCAGTGAGCTAAAAATGTTTTTTTACAAACAAAATGTTTTAAAAGAAAAAAAGATCAAAACTAGAATATTTTGTGGCATGATAATTATGAAATTTAAATAATGAGACCCATAAATAAGGTTTATTGGAACCTGATGAATCTCATTCATTTATGCACTGTCTATGGCTGCTTTTGAGTTATAGCGACAGAGCTGAGTAGATGAGACAGACATGGTATGCTCTATAAAGGTTAAAATATCTACTATCTGGCTCTTTACAGAAAAAGACCTCTGAGTTAGAATTAAGAGAAACTAAACTCTTACAACACATTTTTAAAGTATGAAATGTATTTTGTGAGTGTGGAACTGAAGAACACTTCATGCTAAAACTATAAAAAACATAAATAAAGGGTATAATGGAGTATTCTTCAGTCACTGGCCATATTTTTTAACTTAATCTGAGATACAGTAAGACCCAGCCAAACTGCCTATCCTAACCTAACTGCTCTCTTGTAATGCACATTTCCAACAGGTAGGGAGGTCTTTTTAATCTTAATATTGGGTGATTCCATGTTAGTGGCATAGTTTTGCTTTTATTTTTTAATTCTGACAGTGTACTAACTTTTGATTTAGAAAAAAAGAAATTTATGGGGCACCTGGATGGTCCAATCAGTTGACTGTCCAGCTCTTGGTTTCAGCTCAGGTCATGGTCTTATGGTCCTCAGACTGAGTCCCACATTGGGCTCTGTGCTTAACGGGGAGTCTACTAGAGGATCCTCCCTCCTTTTTGCCCCTCCCCCCACTCACTTTAATAAATAAACCTTAAAAAAAGGTTTTTTTTTACACTTTTATATATTTTATGATTATGAATGCAGTAATTATAGTTCAAAGTATTTTAAGAGTTAACATTGATTTAAAAATTTAAATATATAACTTTCACACTGATAATTCTCTAAACGATGGACTTTTCAATGTTTATATTTACTTTAGGCACTTTAACTGGAATATTTATTGAAGTCCATAAAATCGCAGATATATTTTTGCCATGTTAAGAATTTAAATTAAGACCTTCTGTAGATTATGGAGATGACTGAGTTTTTATGGATGTACAATCTGTTCCACCTGCTCTTATTGATATAGCCACTGTTCTGAATTAACCACTTAAAGGACATATAGTTAGAAAAACAACAGGTGCATCTGTTGGTGCAACATTGTAAGAAAATTTAAGAAAAAATACTAGTGATCTGAGGAATTGAAGATTAGAATACTAGTTGGTAAGAAAAAAACATAGTCAGTGGTTATCTATAAGCAACAAAAAGTCATGTTTATTTCTCCTTTTTCTTTACAAGTACTTCACACAGAAAAGGAAATATTCTGCAAACAGAAATAGCAACAGAAAGAAAACCAGGAGGGCAATACCACACACCCAAACACATGCAGTGTACCATCATTTTTCATACTTGTTGCGGAAGAGGGAGTGTTGCAACTCAGCAACCAGTCTGCAGTATTTAAAACAGTCATGTTGTCCCCTGAGAACAGGAACAGTATAAGGGTTCATTGTCGGAATGCCTGCTTAGTGTGCATGAATAGTCTTCAATGCTTGCACTGGTTCCTGACCTTTGAGCCAGAATGATAACTGTACTGCATGACTTTTACACTTTATCAGGTCTGTTTTAGTTCAGTTAAACACATTTACATGATGATTAGTGAACTCCAAGGTTTGATTTCAAAGTTTTAAAAAATCTTATTATATGTACCCAAGTTCAAGTTTAAATATGTTCTTATACCAGAAATCATTACTAAACAATCTTACAAATTTGCAACCCTATAATTAATTAGCTAAAATTATAAGATGCATGTTTAGAGACAAATGAAAATTATGAACAAGGAAATGTTAATCTACAAAGGGTTTGGTGTAAAACATTATTAAATACAGGCAAATTGCAATGCACACAACCTTGCAAAATATTTTAGACTGCATAGTTATGTTAAAGTGAATGGAAAGAGGTGTATTGATTTCATAAATACTCATTGAAAATTTAAAAGAAAATATGATGTGGCAAATGCTGTTATCTAATAATACGATTAGTTTATAAATTAAAAAAAATAATATAATTTTTCTTTTATGGACTAAAAATGATGGTGAATAATTTAAAAAGTAGCTTACACATAATACGTGTATATATGTTATCTATATATATGCTGATGCAAAAATAAGACCATATCTTTTGATAGCTGAATGCCTTTTATAAAATCAGTAGGGCAGAATATTTGAAATAACTGTTACTGTTACCATATGCTGAGGCATAATTATAGGTTAATCAAATGAGAAAGTATCTGAAAAAAATTAATTCTCATTTTAAATACATTAGGTATTACTCTCTTTGAAAAGAAAATGCAGCAGACAAATATTTTTCTATTCTTAAATTTCATTTAAGAAAACATGTTTTTAAGAATAATTTCGGGTAGTCTTTTTCCTGAAATTCAAAATAAAACCAAAAACTAGTATGATTTCTTCTTTCTCTTTCTCTCACACACACAAGATCAGAGTGCAAATCCTTTTGGCCACATATTCTAAATTTTTTCGAATATTTACAGGGGCAAATACAAAAAGGAAGCTTTGCAAAACCCTTCAAAATGCTGTTCAGGGATATCTATTCTTTCTGAATTTTTCCAGCTATAGAGGAGGTACAAAAGTTTAAAGAAAATCAACAGAATAATAGACAGTCTTTAGCCATATATTCCCTGACTATAATGCTGATTGTGTTATTGCTAATAAGGAATTTATTTATTAGCAGATCCTAACGTAATTATAGAAAACATTGAAATGTGATTCTAGCTGTCTCTGGGGTGGTATACTTACCTCCTGTTCCATTTGTGGTGACAGATGTGCTACTGAGATTTGCCTTCTCCAGTTTGGAGCTACCAGGAGTATCACCACTTCCAACAAGAGGATGAGGACTTGCAAGGTCCTGCATTTCCATAGACCTGTAAGAGCAGGAAACAGCAGAGCAAAAGCTGAAATTTCAGCAATAATTTCTTTAAAAACTACATGTATTATTCTACTGGGCACATATGTGATCTCACAGTAAGAATTGAGACCAATAGCTAAGACTTTTTTGTTAATTAGATGAACATGACGGTCCATTAAAAAGTTAATAAATAAATAAAGCTTCCATAGTAGTTTAGCCTCATAATTTGTAATCCTATAACTACCTCTATAATAAAGTACAGAAGAGAGCCAATTCTGTTATCTTAGCATTTAGTTGATATGGATACCCTCCCTCCTACATTGACCATCTCTGTTATAAAGATGTGGAAACGCTGAAAATATTTAACACCTAAAATTTGATATCCTCAGCCACCAGTAATAAAGAAATTAATAGCTAGAAATAAAGTATAAACTCAAAGGTAGAACAGAAACTTCTAGCTGACCTTGTAGAACCAGAGCTGAAAACTGAGCCTAAGGACTGAGGGCTGGAGTTTAATATCTATTTAGGAATAGAAGGTTTGACTTAAGTCTGTTTCAGGGAATGTGCTAGAATTGAGACCCTAAATAAAACTGAGACTCTTCAAAGGCTGACTTTTTGGAAACAGAAACTAAAAAAGCAGAAATTCGCAGTGGACCAAAGAAGCCACACATGCTTCAATGAAAGAAGGAAAACACACGAGATAAAAATCGAGAGAATTTATCACCAACAAGCTATCCTTTAAAAAATACTGAAGAAAGACCTTCTGCCAAAAGTAAGGATACCAAATGAAAACTCAGAGCTACAGGGAGGAATGAAGAGTGACAGAAACATAAATATATAAGCAAATACAAAGGTTATCTTTTGTTTTTCTTTTAATTCACAAAAGAATGCTAATTGAAGCAAAAAAAAAAAAGCCCACAAGATTGTATCATGAGACTTACAATATGATATAGGAGTAAAATATACGTCAACAGCACAAAAAATACTGGGCAAAATTATATTCTTCTAAGGTTCTTTCATTTGGTATGAGGTGTTATGACATACTTGGAGAAGATATTTAAGATACATCAAATAATATCTAACATTAAATATTAATAAAATCCTAATAGATACAACAAAACATCAATAGAAAAATTAAAATAAAACATTAAAAAAATTGGGTTATCCCTAAAGATCAGGAAATGAGAAAGGAAGAAACATATGTGAAAAATAGAAAACCTGTAGCAAGACAGCATACTCAAACCTCACTATATCAATGATTATAGTAAATATCAACAGACTAAACATTCCAATGAAGAGCCAAAGATTGTTAGATTGGATCAAACAACCATAGTCCAATTAGGGATCTACAAGAGAAGTACTTTTTAATACAGACATACTCTGATACTATGGTGTACTGCGCAGAAATATTCATTTTTTTAAGATTTTAAAATTTATTTATTCATGAGAAACACAGAGAGAGGCAGAGACATAGCAGAAGCAGAAGAAGCAGGCTCCGCACTAGGAGCCCAATGTGGGACTCGATCCCTGGACCATGGGATCACGCTCTAAGCTGAAGGCAGATGTTCAACCACTGAGCCACCTAGATGTCCCAGAAGAATTCATTCTTATAGCTGCTGGGAGTATAAGGAACTGGCACTTCTCAACTAAAGTCCTTCCCAAGACTTGCCCTGAACTAAAGAGAGTCATTTTGCCCTAAATCACACCCTTTCTGAGGTTAGCCCTCAGCTACTGACTGGTGATGAAGGGATATAAAAGTATTACCTGCCCTGAAGGTCACTTGAATCTAGAGTGGCCATAAGATCAACTGAGACATTTGTTGCAACTGCATTGAAGACCAGAGTCTTTCAGTGTAATCATGCTTCTATCATCCCCCCAAAGGTCTTACTACTGAAAGCACAACCCATTAAACTCCTGGAACATAAATCTCCATGTTAGAGTCTGCTTCCTAGGAACTTGAACAGTGATAAGACACAAGTAGGTTCAGGGTTAAAGGACAGAAAACAATATAACATGTAAATAATAAATGTTAGAGAAGTGTTTTGGCTATTATAATATCACAAAATGAAGAGTATTACCAGATACAAAGAGATAATTAAGAAAAAGAGAGAAACAATAAATTCTTCAGGAGGATGTAACAATCCTAGCATGTGTCTCCTAGCCAAGCTTTAAAATATATAAAGCAAAAACTAACAGAATTAAAGGAAGAAACTGACTAGTAGTCCATGGTCATACTTGGAGCTTTTGTAACATTTTCTCCACAATAGCCAATTGCAAAAGTAGACACTGTCATCAACATGCTATAATTGATGGTTATAGTATACTAACACCCAATAATTATAGAATACACATTATTTTCAGGTGCACATGGAATGCCACCAGATGGACTATAAGGTAGAGCATAAAATAAGTATCATTAGATTTTAAATTAAACCTTAAAGAGTAGAGTATCTAGTTATAATGTATTAAATTAGAAAGCAATGATAGTAAAATACATGAAATAATCATTAACACTTGAAAATTAAGCACCATAATTCTAAGTTACCTATGAGTCAAAGAAGAAATCACCAATGAGTTTAGAAAATAATTAGGACAAAATACTAATGAAAACACATCAAATCACCCACACATAGTCAACTGATCTATGACAAAGTAGCAGACAATACAATGGAGCAAAGACAGTTTCTCCAACAAACGGTGCTGGAAAAACTAGACATCCACAATGCAAAAAAAAATAATAATAATAAGTTTAGACAGAGGCCCTATACCCTTCACAAAAACTAAGTCAAAATTGATCACAGACCAACGTATAAAATGCAAACCTATAAAACTCTCAGAATATAAAAAAAGGCCCAGATGACTTTGGGCATGACTTTGAGTTTTATTAAATCAATTAAATCTTTAAATGTATTTAAAACTACACCACCAAAGATAGAATCCATGAAAAAAAAAGAACTAGTAAGCTGGGCTTCATTAAAATTAAAAACCTCTCTTCAAAAGTCAGTATCAGGAGAACTCAAAGACAAACCACAGACTGGAAGAAGATATCTGCAACAGACACATCTGATAAAAGGTTGCTATCCAAAATACATAAATAACTCTTAAAACTGGGCAGCCTCGGTGGCGCAGTGGTTTAGCACCGCCTGCAGCCCGGGGTGTGATCCTGGAGACCTGGGATCGAGTCCCACGTTGGGCTCCCTGCATGGAGCCTGCTTCTCCCTCTGCCTGTGTCTCTGCCTCTTTCTCTCTCTGTGTCTCTCATGAATAAATAAATAAAATCTTAAAAAAAAAGAACTCTTAAAACTGAACAATAAGAGAAAAACAACTGCTTAAGAAATGAGCCAAACACTTCAATAGACACTTCACCCAAAGAAGATATATAGATGTCAAATAAGCATACAAAAAGAGAGTTCACATCACATGTCATCAAGGAAATGCAAGTTAAAACAATAAGGTAACACTTCACTATTCACTAGAATGGCCAAAATCTATAATACTGACAATATCAAATTCTGGCAAGGATATGGAGCACCAGGAACTCTCATACATTGCTGGTAGAAATACAAAATGGTATACATACTTTGGAAGATAGTTTGGCAGTCACTTATAAAACTAAGCATATTCTACTATACAGAGTCAATAGGCCATTACTCAGTGTTAAAAACAAATGTCCCTTCCAGCCATGAAAATACATGAAGGAGTCTTCACTGCATATTACTAAGTGAATAGCCAATCTGAAAAGTCATACATATTGTATGATTCCAATTATATGATATTCTAGAAAAGCAAAACTATCTTGCTGAGGTAGAGATGAGGCAAGGATAAACAGGAGTATAGAAAATTTTTAGGACAGTGAACATACTCTATATGGTATTGTAATGAAAGATATATGTCATTATTCATTGTCCAAACCCACTGCATATACAATACCAAGAGCCAACCCTGAAGTAAACTACGGACTTACAAATATAATGATGAGTCAGTGTAGGTTCATCCCTGGTAATAAATGCACTGTTCTGGTGAGTAATAACAATGGAGCCAGCTATACATGTGTTGGAGCAGAGGATGTATTGGAAATCTCTGTACCCTCCTCTCAGCTGTGCTATGAACTTTAATTGATCAAAAACTAAAGTCTCTAAAACAAAAAATGACTTCATATCAATATTTTTATATGCAAATAAAGCAGTGGCTAATGAGCAATTAGTTCATTATCTTTATATATAGCAATTTATATCTTTAAGTGATACTAGAAAAGGAAAAGGGTTTAAAATCTGTGATCTAAGTTTCTACCCTAATAAACCAGTGAAAGAAAAAAAAAATTAGGGCAGCCCCAGTGGCGCAGCGGTTTAGCGCGGCCTGCAGCCCAGGGCGTGATCCTGGAGACCCTGGATCGAGTCCCACATCAGGCTCTCTGTATGATGCCTGCTTCTCCCTCTGCCTGTGTCTCTGCCTCTCTCTCTCTTTCTCTCTATGAATAAATAAATAAAATGTTAAAAAAAAAGAAAAAAATTAAACCCATAGTAAATGAAAGAAACGAAACAAGAAAGAGTGTAAATCATTGAAATATAAAATTTGAGTAATAGAGACAATTTACAAATCCAGAAGATGATCAGTAGAGATACTAAAAATATTTAAAAGGATGATAAGGAAATATGAACAATCTTATGCCAAAGCATTCATAATTTAGATTAAATCAGTAAACTTATTAAAAGACACAACCCATGAAACTGATCCAATTAAAAAAAGGAAATCCAAATGGTCCTATATCAATTAAAGAAATTAAATTCATAATTAAACACTTTCCCCCAAAAGAATCCTAAAACAAACAAATAAAAAACCAATTCCAGGGCCATATGGTTTTCTTAGTGAATTCTAATAAGGAAAAATAACAATCTTTTATAAATTCTTTCAAAAAACAGGAGGGGACACATTTCACTACATTGTATGAGAAAAGGATTACTCTCATCTAAACCTGACAAACAATTTTTTTAAAAAATTGTGGATCTGTATTTCTCA